TCATTCATAGAAACACTCAGTACAATAACTAAGATTTGGAATCAACCTAGATGTTCAACAACAGATAAATGGATCATGAAGATGTATAATGGATTGCAGCTGTAGGAATGATGAAATCATGCAATTTACTGAAACATGCAACCGGAAATATCATGTTAAATAAGTAAGCCAGAAGAAGAAGGATAAACCCAGTGCATTTCTTACATATGGTATTTAGAGTAACTGGATGAATACATGGTTTAAAGGGGCATGTCTCACTTTTGGCCCCAGAGCATAGGGAGGAAACAGAGTATAGGAAAGAAACAGAGTAGAGGGGAGTAGGGGGAGAAAAGGCAGATGAGAAGCCACTGGATCAGGGCAGGGGGCAGCAGTCAAGGGTATTCAGTACGTCAGTGGTGTTAAGGCATGATAAAGTTAAATATCGAAACCAGAGTCAACAACATGGAAATCATGAGACCCAAACTTTAACAACTGAACTTAAAAGGGTGCCTATCAAGGAAGCAGGCCGGACAATGCACACTAGACAAAATCTGGAAACAACCCAAGTGTAGGTGAATGGGTAAAGAAACTATAGTACATACACACAATGGAGCCATAGAGGGGCCTGGCGAGTGCCATGCTGAATGAAATTACAGAGAGAGACACAAGGACACACAATGATTTCTCTCATATATGTGGTCTAAGGAAACATAACAGTTGAATAATAAATACCCAAAGGAATGAAACAAAAAACATGAGAATTGGTATTCAGTAGGAAAAATGCCACTTGAAGGGATTAGGGAATAGGACAGGCAGGGGGCAACATCGAGTGGGAGGAGAAGGTGGTGCTAAAAGGTGGCCAAAGAGAACAGATGAATGGATAAAGAAACTATAGTACATCTACACAATGGAATACTATACAGCTATTAGGAAAAATGAAGTTATGAAAATGCCTATGAATGGATGGACATGGAGAGGATCAGGCAGAGAGAAATAAGTCAAAAGGAGAGGGACAGATTCAGAATGACTACATTCACCTGTAGTATATAAAATATATATAAAACTAATATCCATAGCCAGGGAAAACAGATTAGAAGACTGGTCAGTGGGGCAGAGGGTAGGTTAAGGTAGAGAATGGAACAATATGACAATAGCACCGTCCTTCCATTGTTCATCGATTTGCTCAAGTGTGCCCTGTAACATCTCCATTTTGAGTCTTGTTGTTACTGTGTTTGGCATATCAAATATGTCACAGGTAGCTTGCCAGGCTTTGCTGTGCAGGCAAGGTACTCTCAGTAGCTTGCCAGGCTCTCCAAGAGGGGCAGAGGAATCGAACTCATGTCAGCCAGGCTGGCTGCATGCAAGGCAAATGCCCTACCCACCGTGCTATCGCTCCAGCCCAAATAGCTGGAAATGATCACGTTGGATAAGGAGCTTAAGAAGTAGGTAAAGGGATATATCTAGTAATCTTTCAGTGTCTGTGTTGCTAACACAGGCAGGCTGGGGGCAGGAATATGATGGGAGGGAAACTGGGGACACTGATGCTGGGAAATACACATTGGTGAAGGGATGGGTGTTGGAACACTGTATGACTGAAACCTAATCATGAACAGTTTTGTAACAGTCTGTCTCACAGTGATTCAATTTAAAAACCTTTTAATTAGTTCCTGTGTCTGTCCATACAGTGGGTGTGACAATAATGGTTTTTAATGGGTTTAGGGCTAGTGACAGGATAACTTCTTCAAATTCCATCTTGGATTTATTATGTTACAAGAACTCATTGCTGCTCCCTTATAACCCCCATCAACTCTGTGAATGCTTCAATACTGTCAAAAGATTTTGTCAAAACCATTACTTTTTACAGCATAATTTCATTGAGACTTTCCTAGACCCTGAGACTTTTGGATACTGTGGAATTCTTTTTTAGTAGACTGCACTGTTGTATATGACCTTAGAATGAAATAAATATATTTTAACTGCAAAAAACAAAAAAAAAAAACACTTTTAATTAAAAAAATGTTTAAGGTGGCCAAGTGTTATGTATGAAACCCAATAAGCAATAGTACCGTAAATCATACTGCAAAAATATAGATACTTTTAAAAGGCCTCTTGTAAAAGCAGGTGGAAGTAAATGGGGTTAAGTAAACTGGTGCAGGGAAGTGGACATTGGAGAAGAGATGAGTGTTGGAACACTGTATGCCTAAAACCCAATCGTGAATATCTAATTTCACAACAACTGTCACTGTCCTCCTGTTGTTCGTCGATTTGCTCCAGCAGGCCCAGTAACGTCTCCATTGTGAGACTTGTTGTTACTGTGTTTGGCATATCGAATACCTCATGGGGAGCTTGCCAGGTTCTGCCGTGCGGGCAAGATCCTCTCGGTAGCTTGCCGGGCTCTCAGAGAGGAGCGGAGGAATCAAACCCAGGTCTGTCAGGTTGGCTGCATGCAGGGCAAACGCCCTACCGCTGTGCTATCGCTCCAGCCCAATAATTAAAAAAATTAATTAAGAAAATTAATATACATATTTTTAAAGATGGCAGTCTAGGGAGACGGAGGGTAGAAAAGAGTACCTAGAAACATTGGTGAACTTAAGTTGACGCTGGCAGTAGGACCAGTACTGGAACATTATAAAACTCAACTATATCTTTGTAAACCACAGTGCTTTAATAAAATGTAATTAAAAAATTTTAAACAGACTGTAGTGTGTAAGAGTAAAACTAGAAAGATAGGTCCATGGTAAAAAACCAAAAGCCCAGAAATAAATCCAAACATTCCTCAGTCTTTAATTGTTACAAAGGGTTCTTAATGAGTTGTTATTGCTGACCCTAAGTTAATCATTCCAGAATGTTTTGGTGGTTTTGTGCCTTATTATGGACTTTATCTCCAGGAATATGCAAATGCTCACAGGACTGTCAAACTGAATCCAGGAAAAGCTTCCCACATGGACTAGAAATATCACCAGCAAAAGTGCCCAGAACAATGATCTCTATGTCCCAGAAGGAATAAAACCATTTTTGAAAGAGAAAGGCAGAAACCCAATGCAGCTGACCAGAGTTAATAGAGCCAGAGCTGGAGGTATGGTGCCGCCAGCAGGTCAATCTGTACCTGGAGGTGAGCGTATCAGCAGCCTGATGGTGCCTTCAGACTTCCAGATACCCCAAAATTGCTGCTGTGCCGTTGGCAAGACCCCAAAAAGTTGGGGCAAAGTTTACCAAGAAAATAAACGGCCAAAAGTCAAGTATGTGGGAGACACACCCACAAACCACCTCTGGCTCAGCTATATAATTGGAGGCATGGCCTCTCTGGTTTATGACCGAAATGCTTGATGGCCATGACAAGACATACGGGTCCTCACGGGATGGGGGTGGAGCCGGCCCTTTCCTCCCCACCCCAACGAGACCCCAAGTTGCCGCCCATGAACGGCCTCTCTGACTCCTGATCAAGCCATTTAATGGCCGTGATCCCAGAGACGAATATGCCAAATACTAGTAACAATGATGGGTCTCATTCTCCTAAAAAGCCTTGAATAAAATCTCAGGGCTAGGATATAAGAGACATTACTGGGGCCTGCTCGAGGCAATCAACGATCGATCCCAGAGACTCAGAAACAAATCTTGGAACCCAGTGGGTATTGGCAGAAATGCGTCTGTACCCTGCTGGAGGTTACTGTCACCAGGCCCCCCACGTGGTGTTGTCCCTCCACCTGCTCTCCCTAGGCGGCTCAGTGGCTGCCATCCTCCAGAGGCCATTGGACAGTCAGGTTTGGGTCCTCAGTGACAAGACACATGGGGCCTCACGGGATGGGGGTGGAGCCAGCCCTTTCCGCCCCACCCCAACGAGATCCCGGGTAGCCACCCATGAACAGCCTTTCTGGCTCCTGATCAAGCTGCTGAAAGTCCATGATCCCAGAAACTCAGGAACAAATCTCAGAACCCAGCAGGTTTTGGCAAAAATCCCTCCAGATTTAAGTGTTAAAATTTTGGAATTTCCAAATCATGCTGCCACTAGCCACACAACATCATATGTTATTCTTAACCAGCAGTAGAAAACAAATTGTCTACTGTTTCCTTTTCAGCAGATCTGAGTTGGGGTAAAATCCCAAATAATAATGGTGGGTCTAGTGTCAAAATATTGAATGTAATCAAAGTAGAGAGAGAATAATATGAAAAACATCTGCCCCACAGGTAGGGGGAGGGTGTGGTATGGAGGTATACTGGGGTTTTTGGTGGTGGAGAATGGACACTGGTGAAGAAGGTACAGATGTTTCATTGTGTGAGCGAGACTTTGTTTCATTGTGTCAGCGAGACTTTGTTTCATTGTGTGAGCCAGACGTAACTGCTCTCACGTGATTCAATAAATAAAATTATAAAAAATGGGGGAAAAAAAGTAAGGTGGAGTTCATGCCCAATTCAATCAGCTAATCAGTGGCTGAATAAATAGCAGTACTCCTACATTAAAAAAAAAAAAAGAGCCAGAGATAGGAAGCCGGCTCAAGAGGGAGACAGAGACCACATCTGGTATATGCGGGGCTCTGAGCAAAATCCCCAAAACACACGCTCCCTTCCTTCAACACTGGTCCATGCCCAGAACTTCCAGGCCCAGAATCGTCAAGCCCCACCCCTGCACCAGTGGGGTTGGTCCCAGTTTCACAGAAAGTTCTGAGCTGGGGAGAACTAGTCTGCCCTGCACTGGCAAAGAGGCAGGATCATTTGTGAGCAAACAGGAGTCGGAAACTTGTATAAATCTTTGAACCACAATAAAGGAGCACGCGATAAGCGACCTTCCTCCCTTCTACCTCCGATAACAGATGACTGTAAAACTTACTATAAATCCTAAAAAACTTATGATAAATCCTAAGTTGGCAAAAGAGATAAACCATAAAACGCCAACAAAACCCAGAAAAAAAAAACAGGAAACAACGAGGTTGACGGACGCGCTGGATCCAACACTAATAACCGTTTCGAAGTGGCCCGTCTGACGCACAAGAGGGAGACCGAGTGAGGCGCGACCTCTAGGAAACTCACCCCAGAGCCCACCGGCGGGCCTGTTCCCGGGAGGCCGACCCCACATTCACGCCCCGCGCCGCCCAGGCCGGCTCGGGAACCGCCCGCGGGGCTGGGGGATCCAACGCGCCCCGCGAGTGGGCACCCGCGGCCCTGAGGCGAGGCCGCCCCTCCTGGGCGCGGGCGCGCTCCAGCTCAGGGCGAGGACCCCCTCCGGGCCGTGCGGCCTTTTCCACACGGGCGGCCCCGGAGCACGCAGGGGCCGGGCCTGAGGCGAGGCGAGGAGCGAGGTCGGGTCGCGCGGCCCCTCGGCCTCTTCCGGCCGCGCGCAGCCAGGCGACTCCGTCGCGTGCAGGCCCCGGGCTCCAACTGCGCAGGCGCGGCCCGTGCGGCGCTGGGGCGGGGCGCTGGTCTGGGGCGGTCGGTGATTGGACGAGAGGGTCACGGGGCCCAGCGGCGGCGCCGGCCTTTGAAGGACTCGGCGCTGCCGCGTGACGCTCACACAGAACGGCCAGAGCGAGGTCGAGGCTGCGACGCGGCAACGGTGGCGGTGCTGTGGGCCTAGCCCGCCTGGCCGCCTCGCCGGCAAGAGGGCAGCGTCGGTGGGTGGGGTGTGGGGCCCGGCCTCTCGGCCCTGAGGCGGGCGGCTGCGGGCGCGGGGGTCCCGGGGCTCTTCCCTCGGCCCTGAGGCGGGCGGCTGCGGGGGTCCCACGGGGCGCCCCCAGGTGAGGGAGGGGGCGGAAGGGGGTCCCGGGGCTCTTCCCTCGGCCCTGAGGCGGGCGGCTGCGGGGGTCCCACGGGGCGCCCCCAGGTGAGGGAGGGGGCGGAAGGGGGTCCCGGGGCTCTTCCCTCGGCCCTGAGGCGGGCGGCTGCGGGGGTCCCACGTGGGGCCCCCAGGTGAGGGAGGGGGCGGAAGGGGGTCCCGGGGCTCTTCCCTCGGCCCTGAGGCGGGCGGCTGCGGGGGTCCCACGGGGCGCCCCCAGGTGAGGGAGGGGGCGGAAGGGGGTCCCGGGGCTCTTCCCTCGGCCCTGAGGAGGGCGGCTGTGGGGGTCCCACGGGTGAGGAGGTGGGGGGGGGCGGAAGGGCATCTCGGGCTCTGGGTGAGGGCTCGCAGGGACGGATCCAGTGGGTGTAGGTCAGAGAAGGGCTTGACAGGGGAGTCGCGGGCCGGACGAGCGGGGGGGATGGCGTGTGGGTCTGAAGAGTGGGAGCACCGTGGGGGCTGGGGCTGGGGGTCTCATTGCGCAGCTCTTCCTCCACAGTTTCCCTGTGATTGGCGGGTGAGAAAATGTCAGGCCACAACGACTGGTTCCAGAGCTCCCGGGTCCCCAGCTTCGCACAGATGCTGAAGAAGAACCTGCCGGTGCAGCCACCCGCGCACACAGTCACCGCACCGCCTGGGTACTCGCGGGAGAGCTACAGCCTGTCCTCCATGGCCTCCAAGGTCACGCCGGTGACAGGTGCGGGCCCTGCCTTCCGACGCGCACCCCTGGGAGCAGAGTCGGGTGACACGGCTGTCACTGGAAACCGTAGAGTTGGATAGACCTAGTCACAGAAGGCAGGAGATGCAGCCAGAGAGTGCCAGGTCCCCCACTGCTCAGCCTGACGGGCACCCTGGCCTGCCCGAGGTCCGCGGTGCTCTGCTTTCAGTGGAAGCCGTGGAGTGTCTTCACAAGGATCATCCCTTCTGCAGTAAATGGGCACACTGTGCCGGAATGAGCGGGTAGCGTCTGTGATGAGAAGCACAGATGAAGGCGTGTGTTTGGCGCAGGCTTCCATTTTAGGGAAGAACTTATTGTTCGTGCTTATCTTGTTTTACCAAGTTGACAAGTGCAAACATTTATTTTTAGGTAATTTTCCAGAACCACTGCTTTCCAAAGGTCTTTCATCTATTTCAAATCCTGTCCTTCCTCCAAAGAAAATACCGAAGGAATTTATAATGAAATACAAGCGTGGAGAGATAAATCCTGTGTCAGCCTTGCACCAGTTTGCACAAATGCAGAGGGTTCAGCTTGACCTTAAGGAAACTGTAACAACAGGCAAGTTTAAAGCTGGTTTTCTAATAAAAAACTATTTCCTATTAAAAGCAGAAAATAAAACATACTAAATGTATTCTCTGTATTTGTGTTATGTTGGGATCAGTCCAACAATTACTTAAATGTTTTGAGAACTAGACTTCTTAAGAAGCTTTTATGTTCAAGCATCCTAGGTTATTTTGTTTTGTTTTTGGACCATGCCCAATGGTGCTCATAACTTACTCCTGGCTTTGTGCTCAGGGATCACCCCTGATGGGGCTCAGTATTGTATGTTGTACCGAGGACTGACCCCTGTTCAAAAGTCAAGTTCCCTGCCCACTGTAGTATATCTCCAGCCCCACACTTTTAACTATTGAAGCTTTGGCTAGTAAGTCACATCACTGAATTTTAACTTATAAATTATGCTTGACAAGTGGAACTGATATCTTATTGATCTTATCGGATTTTTTTTGTTTTGAAAATACTTGTAAAACATTTTAAAGAGATGTTAAATATTTTATATTTTGTATTTAATATAAATAATATGTATCAATTATAATTATTGATTAATAGACATTAATATAAATACTTATATTTTGAGAAGGATTCTATGATGGTGCTTAATAAAAACTGGTCATATTTGCTTCTGAGGTTAAGGAGTAGAGGTTTTAAAAATAGCACTTAGGTGATATTGTGTGCAGACATATTTTCTCCATTTCTCAATCTCAAAGACAACATTGTGCCTGGAGAGACTGCAGTATTACACACTAGTCAGTGCAGAAAGCACCTGCAAAATCCCTCTCCTGATGACCACAGAGGGATATAGAATCAGGTGCTCACAAGAGGCCGAGGTAGGCTGACAGTATGAGAAACAGAAGCAAAACGTTAATAGATGTGTATATGTTTGTACACAACAACTATCAAGTACTTTGTTCAATTTCCTCCTGGCATGACTTTCGCCTGTTTGGATCTCAGAGTTAGCATCTTTACTAAATAAAGTAAAATTTATGGTAATTAGAATCATTGTAGTAATGATGATAATAGTGAAGTGGTTTCTAGTCTGTTTTGAATAAAATAACAGTTAACAGGTGACAGACACCTAACTTTAATGAAGAGAGTATTCCTAGATTCTGTTACTAGGTTGGATAAATTCTTAATATCAGAAGTATGTGCTTAAATTTATTTATCTTTCTATTACTGATCTCAGGATGCCTTTGGGAAATGAAAAAGCTGCTGGCCACAGTAGGGGGGAAATGATCAGGGAAAATCTTCATTGAGCATAATAAATATTCAAACATACAATTTATTGTTTTATATTCATAGTCAGGTTGAATCATTTAACTCAGTAGGTTTGGCAGTGAGAGCAGCGAACTTGTTTTTAAATAAGTTCTACAGGAATTTTCCTAATGTTTGAGGACCTAAAGTATAAACTGGATAAAGCATGAAAAAAGTTTCCATCCTCTGACAGTACTTATTTACAAACGTAATTCGATAATATGCTAGGCAAGAATCACTTGGGAAACTTGTTAGAGCTATTCTCTGATTTAGTGAATTTAGACGGAACCCAGGTTACTATATTAAAAAGATGTTGGGAAAATAAAGTCATAAATGGAAGATGGAAAGCAGTTTGCCCAGATGCATTCAGAAGTTTCTTGTAAAATCTGGATGCTGATCTTAACACATGAAAACTTGCAGTTAATGTATTACCTGATAAAATGATAATGATTAAATACTAGCCAACCATAATTAGAACTGAGATATAACCCTAAAAGGTTAATGTTTGAATACCAACAAAGGTGGTAAATTGGAAAACCTTAGGCAAAAAGTATAAATGATTTTATTTAATTTTTTATCGAAGTAACTGTGTGGATTCAGGGAGAGAACTTAGTGATGTAGAGCATATTCTTGTGTGTGCAAGTCCCTGGCTTTTATTCCCAGCACCACCTGGATCTTGAACACCATCAGGATGATTCTGGTGGCCCCTAGCCTACCAGGCCCATGAGTGCTGCATTACCAGGCTGACCACTGAAAACTCAGGCCAGCCCCACCAGCTTGCGCATTGCTGAAAATGTCTCCCTAGGGAGGCTCCTGTATGAAAGAAAATGTGTAAAATTAAAACTTTTAGTCATTTCTGGTGTATGGATGTTCAGATAAATTATTCAGGATGTATTTTAATCATATTTTTTTATTTTCCTTGTGAATCCTCCTAAGCAAGTGATGGGTTGAATTGCTTAACGTGACTTCTTTTTTTGGTGCATCTTAAAGAATTTAGCAGGAATCCTTTTTCTGGAGATCATAAGGGTATTTATAGTAAAGGTTTGAAGACTAGAGTGTTTCCAGAATCTATACATTTACCTCTCATTTGATAAATAGTTGGGTGCTAACCATTGCTGGATTATACAAGACATTGTCACTTCCTGTTTGACCTAAACTCTAAAACTGGCACCACTGTTCACCCTAAATCTGTAGCAAGTGTGACTACTAGAAGATTTCCTCAGCTATTTCAGAGACCCTCCTATCTTTCCTTTTAGCTTGTATTGACGCTACAGAAAAACTTAAGGCCAAGATAGTTTCTAGAATATCTGTATTGAGATGTCTTGCCACATAAGTTATCTGTTGCAGTTGATTACTGAACTATTGTAGCATTCATTCTGAGTTCCTTTTCTAGGTAATGTGATGGGACCGTATTTTGCTTTTTGTGCTGTGGTGGATGGTATTCAGTACAAGACTGGACTTGGACAAAATAAAAAGGAGTCTAGATCCAATGCAGCAAAATTGGCTCTGGATGAACTTCTACAATTGGAAGAACCTGAACCAAGAATTTTAGAAACATCAGGTAAAAATTCTTAGTATGAAGTATTTGTAAAAGGTATCATTTTCCAGAAGCAGTTACTAGAAAGATACAGTGAAGAGTTACTTGGCAAATACTGATATTTCATAGTAATAAGGTGATTTTAAATAGCACCAAAGATGTGGCTGAACTGCCTGACAGCTTGTCAGATTTCCCGTGGGTACCAGTCCTGAAATTGCTTTCTCTCATTTTTTATACTTTTGTTGTGTACTGTGATTTTTGTGGGCTTTTAATGTAGTTTTGTGAAAATTTCCTATATGAAACTTAGTAATGGTAGAATTACTTGAGAAAATAATGTCCTCTTAGTAGCATAGCAAATAGGTTCACTTGATCACTTGACTTTCCGTTAATCGTCGATTTGCTCGAGCGGGGGCCAGTAACGTCTCCATTTGTCCCTGTCGCGTGCTAGTGTAGCCCAATGGCGTCTGCCACTCTAGGAACATGAAGAGCCTCAAACCGATCGTTCATGATCTTGATGAACAATCTGGTCTGACCATCTGGTAGGTGGGCGGCCACGCGGTCTATTGACATCCCGTGGAATCCAGTCAGTAACAGCTCTAGTCCAGCGGTCGTCTTTAAATCTCATTACGTGACCAGCCCATCTGATTTTTGACACCTTGGCAAATGAGACAGCGTCCCTGATTCTTGATCGTCGATGGATGTTGGAACAACGGATTCTTTCTCTCATTTGAGTGAAACGTGATATTCCAAGCATAGCTCTTTCTGTTCTTCTTTGGGAGACCTGAATAGCATTCTCATCCTGTTTGCGTAGGGCCCAGGTCTCTGAGGCATATGTTAATGCAGGAAGAACAGTGAAATCAAAGAGATAGCAAATAGGTTAAGAATGTAAACTCCAGGGGTCTGGGGCGATAGCACAGTGGGTAGGGCATTTGTCTTGCACACGGCCGACCCAGGTCCGATTCCCAGCATCCTATATGGTCCCCTGAGCAACGCCAGGGGTAATTCCTTAGTGCAGATCTAGGAGTAACCCCTGAGCATCGCTGGGTGTGACTCAAAAAAAAGAATATAAACTCCAAAAATAGAATGAATATTTCACCTGAACTGTAGATCCTGGAAGGACAAAAATTTGCCATCTAAACCAGCATATATCTACTGGGAGGCAGAATATTCAATGTGGGTCACAGCTAATAATTGCATAAATGGGAGAGCCACAGCACGAGGCAAGGGAGCCAGTCTGTAGGGCAGGGGGACCCACAGGAAG